ACCAGGTAATAAACAGGCACCACCAAATATGTGGTATTAAATCTGAAAGTGATGGGGTTGTATGTCTCTGAACATAACATTTATTTCAATAACACATTTTCTAGCAGGAAACACTACAGTCAGGGGGGAAAAAACACCAGAATCTGAATCCCAGCAAAAGTGGAAACTTGGAAACGGCTGTTCTATTAGAGTTTCCAAAAGCTCAGTGTGATCCTCAGCAACTATAACTGCATGTGAATGTGTGCTGGTAGCCTAGTAGCCCAGATTCCCCCACTGACATAACTACATCTGAAACAGCAATGGAGCACGTAGACCATAATGTATTAAATCCTTTAGTATCAATCTACAGATCAAGAGAGGAAGGATTATTTTTTTCCTGATAAGGAGAGAACATCATGTGGATTTTTTTAAGCATCGCCACATTTTGAAAAACTATTGAAAAGCTATTTTCAGTTTGAGACAAAGCATGGTATTTAATCCAAAAAGCAAGGATTTTGGTTCAAACGGATATTTGACCATGTTTATAATAAATTTTGAATATGCACAATTGATAAAAAAAAAAAAAAAGAAAGACAAATCACACCTGTAAAACAGACTGGATTCAGGATGGAAGCAAAAAAAATGTTCCTCAGATTTCAGCTTCTAAATTTCCTTTGCAAAATTACTAAATATAACGATCTGCCATGCTATTTCTGCTATGAGCATATACTCCTCCTGATTATGACTATATTCATTTTAACGTAGTCTATTTTTACCCTTTTTTTCTTGTCTCATGATCTAGCTTGTCTGATTTAAATTTCATTAGCAAAAACCTGTTAATGTTGTTAAGTTTGATTCATTTCTAAGAATCAGTTCAAACTGGCTGTTTTAATAAGTCAGTTCAAAACTCTGATTCAATGATTTTTCAATGTTACATTTCAAAAATGCTGTAAGTGTAAGTATTATGTGCTTATGAATAAAAATGAATTTTTTTTTGTTGTGTTCATGTAGGTACTGTAAGCATCCAAGTCTTTATTATTTTAATTAGCCTACATTTAAAAAGAAAGAAAGAAAGAAAGAAATACTACAATAGCTATTTGTTTGAATGATTGCTCTCCTTACTTTTCAAGCAAATACATAAACATTAAGATATGTAGGCTATTGAACATCATCAAGACTATGAAACAATATTGTGATAAATATATATTTTTAGCTATACTGCCCCACCCTGCTACAAAATACTTCCTCTATTCACTATTGTAAAGGAATTGTTGCTTTAAACAAGCGGGTCACGCAATGTTTCCATATGCATCAGGTCAGACATGCTTTTCTGCTCATAATTGGATGCAGTTGAGGTGCATAAGCAAATAAAGGCATCATTGTTGAAGCCAGATTTCA